TCGGCTTATTCTTGGCCACAGGATCCTTGGCACCAGCACGTGGAGACATATAGTGATGCAACCGGACATGTTGTTCAGCATGATCTCTGGACGAGAAACCTGAATCAGAGGACTCAGGAAATTCCGTTGCTGAAGAGCATCTGCAAAGGTCCCACGATCAAACTCCTCCTCGGAGGAGTCCGAAACATCCACGGGCTCCTCAGCTGCTAAGTTTGCAAGCGAATCGGCAAACCATGCAACCAACTAGCAGATGGTATTAGGCCAAGCAACAGAGCCGAAAATCTCCTGGCACATGCCCTTGTACTTGGCTCGTGCTTCCTGCATCGATCTAGGGATAAGGCTGTAGCAGTGAGGCACGAAACGAATTATTATGGCCTCCAGGCGCTGTCGCTTGTTCTCGGGGCCATCATCAGATTTCTCAGTCCTCAGGACCAAGAAATTCAGAAGCAACATGTAGGGTCTACATACAATGACCCAGGAATGGCTTAGTTTGTAGATACCATTCAAGCCAAAGAACGGAGCCATGCCATCCTCGGCCTGGCCAGACTCCTTCTGACCCTTTGGCGGAGAGGGAAGGATCCTCGATCTGAAATCATACAAGCAGGCTGGCACGTGCGAGAGCACAAAGATTAAATGCGACCGCAGCACTTGCACTTCAATGCATCCAACTTCGGCCGATGACTGGACCTGCATGTGCGGGGACACTTGGGGTGACTGAAGTCTTCATTTCAAGAAAAGTCCATGAAAATCATTCCCGCCTTGAGCGATTGTTCAGGCCCCGCAGGCGGCTGCAACCCCGCTTCAGGATCGTCGAAACCAAACTTTGGTCCACCTGTGTGAAATGGTGGCAGCAAACCATGACCTCAAAAGCATATGATATGAATCAGGTCGCAGGCTGCAAGACTCCAGAATGCATTCCAAACATTGAAGCAAAAGCTGCAGTCCAAGAAACAGCGAGGTCAAAGATGCGAGGAGCCGGAGTCTTCGTGATGCCCAGTTCGCCTTGTGGCGCTTCGAAACTTGATTGAAAGGTCAATGAGCCAACTGCCGGAGCTGAGTATACTGTCAAATGCCCTATAAGATAAGGCACTGAAAACTGCGAAGCAGGAATCCAATGCCGCGGTGAGCTGCTGGTCCACGAAATCCAAAGGCAGCTGTTCGCCCGGATTTATGAAGTTAACCGCACCTTCCCAGACATCGTTGGCACCTCAATCATTTGCTTCCACTGGACTACGTGGATACAATGCTCTCTCCAGCACCAGCCAATCTGTGCAGAACTTAGACTGGAAAGCTGAAGCATCAAGGCACAGTAAGAATCCAAATCGAGAAATGCAATTATGTAGCTGGGGCTCATTTGGCTCCAGCGAACAATGGCTTCAGAGCCGTAGCCATTGCATTTGCCAACTGCAGGGAAACTTGCAACACATTCAATCCACTTGCCAATGCCCGGACTAACTCATGCGGCCTGGCTGTCCTTCACACCTTCATTGGCATTGTCTGGCTCCTGACACGAGCCAGAAAAATTGCCCCATCGAATGCTGAAACAGCTCTTCTAAATGCAATCAAGAGCCTCCTCACCACCAATCTCCGAGCCAGCACTCGAGGCAGAAGCCATGGGCCACCGAGCAGCAAAGCAGGCCGAGGCTAAGTAATCTATATGAAACACCCATGGCCCATATTATATTTCCTAGGTTAAGATCGATTGAAAAGCTACAAGTATCTCTGATTGCAGAGGATCGAATCTCCCAGCACTAAACGAGTCTGCAGGCGGTGTTGGGTCCATCTCGAGGTACACTAACCGGGCCGATTTATACCTTTACAAAGGGATGTACAGGTATAATTCATACCAAGGTCATGAAGATATTGTTGCATGTGCATGCAACAATATGTAAAAGTGCCCCATGGGAAGGTCAAAACGTGCATGTGGATTGTCATCCTCGAGATAGCTCTCTATCTAGAGAATGATGTCATGGCTACTGTTAACCAATGCAAATCACAGAGGTATTTGTATATGTATATATATATATGTATGTACACAAATAATGTACATGCATGTCTAGTCTAATATTCACACTTATAGATATAAATACACATGCATCTAAAAGTCAAGTAATACAGATAAATTTCATGTGTGTGTGTGCGTCTCTATGAATATATTCAGGTGTATATACATATGGACCCAAATATATAAATATATGTGTATACAAAAATATATATATATATATATATATATATATATATGATAGTACCGATTTCTGATATGTCTCTAGATATATAGAGAGAGACACACACACAGACACGTGTATATACGTATTTCAGGAGCGCCACCACGGTCGCACAGGGCGGGGTGGAAGGTTAATATGAGCAAAAGGGTTCGGCTTGGGCTTGGCCTTGGGTCCCGGGGTAATCCTCCCAACCGCCAACGGAGCACTCGGGCGAACAATCTGCTTGGGACGAGGGCCACCGTAAAGGCGGCCCGGCGGAAGGCCCACCGACCCCAGCCTCTGTGCGAGCCCTGCCCTCAGCTCCTCCGTCGACAGCTGCTCGATCGGGCTTCGGGCACTCGGAGACCGACTACGGCCGCGAGAACACCCGTGAGCGGCCGAAGTTGACGATGACGAACGCCTGCGACGACGACTTCGGGAGTCACTCGAGAGTGGTCGACAGATTCGACGACGACTCCGAGACCGCGACCGCGAAGACCGCGACCGCGAAGACCGCGAGCGCCCACGGCCCCGCTCACGATGCTCGGACTCACTGCTCTCCTGATTCTCACGATGCTCCCGATCGCGATCGCTGCCCACCTCCGCACCGACCCCCTCCCCGGGGTTGGAAGGCGACCGTGGAAGCTCACCTGTCATCTTAATAAGTCTAGTAAATGTACATATTGTGGATATCATGTATGTATATATATATATATGTACAGACAATTATTACATATATATATATAGAAGCATATAGATTGAATAGTAAAATCAGCATGTTGCAGACATGCATGCAACATGAGATCACAAACACAGCGGCACCCATGCACAGCAACACTGCATGCAGAGACATGTCACATGTACCGCTGCAGCACTGCAATGCAAAGAACTGTGGACTGGGGGCGCACCAGTCGGCTGCAAAGCCGCATATATGAGCGACAAACGCCGTCGGCTGCTGAGCTTTGAAAGCATACACTACACCCTAGGGAGCTGGGCTATCTTCAATACTTAAATTCTTTGCAAAGGATGTCGTAGTTTCTACACCCAAGGCCTGATTCACAGAATAGCAGAATTCAACTTAATTGGAGTTCACTAGAATCCATTGCAGTACGACCGCAAAATTACACTTCTGGTGGGTTTAACCTATAGTTGTTCAGCCATACCGGGCCCGTTGCTTTAAAGTCAGGTGCTGGGTGTACATCGACCATGCATGGTGTCTCTAAGGGTTGCGATATCTACTTCCGTACGGTCATGCGTGCATGTTCACCCTACTACTGAAGCTAAAGATCGGCGAGGCACGGCAAGTGACTTGGAAGCATGCTCATGAGTACTGTGATCCTACTTTTCCGAATTCTACCATTGGTATGCAGTAGTATTACCAATGGTAGAATTTTCCATGCATGTTCTTGTCGAAATCTTCTTCAACTAGAAGAAGATTTCGATTTTCCCCATGGACATGATCATGTTTTGGCTGAGAAATGCATGACAATTGTGCGAAAACTAACCTCAAGCGGATTCTTGGTTTCTGGAGCCCAAAAACCTTACATTGTTGTTTGTTTTGTTGAAAAAGTAACATTGTTGTTTTTTTGGTGAAAAACTAACAACGTATACTTTTTGGTCAAATGTATTTTTTTTTTTTGCTACATTAGACTCTCCAGGAGAAGTTACAGAGCTACAAATTTTGTCTTGTAGCCACCATACATGCACACATTGTCGAGGACAACTGCTGCATGTGTTCCCGTCTGCGCTGTTTCGTTGGCCCTAGCTGCATGATGAGCCTGCACCACAACGGCATGTCTCTAACGCAACGTCATGCAAAATACCTTAAAATGTGAGACGGCGAGGCTCGTTTTCTTCTCAATTTACTCGGTAGTCCTTAACACGGCCGAGGCGCAAACCCGCGCGCACACACACACACACATATGCACACTGATTGTGTGAAAAGCAAGGGCTGAACCGGCTGAACTGCTGAACCCATCCGTGTACACATTTTCTTCGGGCCGCACTTCCCCCAGCGCCCCACCTTAAATTGCACATGCGCATGTGCCGGACGTATAACTCATGCACAACCATCCATGCTGAGTACGGACATACATCTACGAGAAGAAGCCCGTATCCTTTGGATGTGCAAGGATGCAACCTTCGTCGCCTTACGTCCTACTAGGCATTGAAGCTTTTGCAACGCAGAGTTCTTAGCCCATTCCGCTTCCGCTTTCAGCTAACCGCCAGCCCTGCACATGGAAAATATGGTGGAGATCGCACCCGCACCCAGCCGAAAGGTCATCTGACAACATACACTCGGGCATACAGTGGCATACGCCATGTCTGGCCCAGGTACGTCGAGATAGAGTCGAGATGCTTTCTTTCAGCATCAACATATGCTGGACGACCTGCGCGGTGTAAGACTGCCCGAGCGAGTCATTCCCCGCGGCAGCCGATCTTCTTGCTTACATGGAGGTTAGACAACCATCGAGCGCGTCGTCGCTGTCGATGCGACCATGAAATCTCGTAGGTTTCAAAGTGAGCGCATACTCCAAACATCTCCCGGCCACACAGGAACAAACGATTCGAGACAAGTCCCTTAACATGCACGCCCGAAACCGCAACCACACAACATAGACAACTAATACAAAGCAATGCCAGCATCAACCCATGCACGTGGACAAGGAAACGCAGAATAGTCCACGTACTTCGTTCGACAATTTTGTGCAACTGGTCTTCTAGTTGACCTGAAACACGAATCAACATGCCGCACTCCACCCGGCGAGATGGCGCAGGAACCTCTAAGGCCCCGGCCATCCAACCATCTGCGAAAATCTCGGAGCGCACCTGCCCCACAGTGCCCAACACCCATATGAGCAATGTAAGATGGAAGCGCCGCTGCCAATCGAGCCTCTGCACCGGCTGCATTTATCCGAGCCTCTGGGGCAGAGGATTTGCGATTGATGTTGGCGGATGGCTGGGGGAATGCTGGCCTGTTCCATGGGGAGGTTTGGCTTGTGATCCTCCCACGGTGGCATCAATCAAATGCACTGCGCACTTGCAGCGTTGCGCCTCTGTAGCGAAAACGAGGGAACCAGATTGCTCCATTCCAACCACACACCTGCAGATTGAGAGTGCAGCCGCCGCCAAAAAAACACACTTTTGGTTTAAATGCATCTCTTTTCCCCCTGGAAGCCCACAAAGCTTTTGGTATTATTTCGGGGCGGGCAGGGAGCAGGCTTCCTGCAGCTATTCCTACACGCTCACGTCCGCTACGGGCACAGCGGCATCCCATGGCATCCCACTGGCGCGGCAAGCTTGAGTACTCTCGAGGGGCGGCTCGTCCCTCTGGCATGGTGGGGCGCCACGCCGGTGCGACCAGCCCGCGGCGGCTGCGCGGCGGAGACCAGGCGGTGCTCTCTTTGACCCGTAGCAGGTGGAGCACGAAGCGTCCTGCCTCGCCATTGTAGCAGCCGTTGACCTCCGAGCCCAGGAATACAAAATTTTTCGGGTCCTCCACCGAGAGGTGGGGGCATGTGGACCGGTGGCGGCGCTCGGCGACCCTGAGCACTGCCCCGTCTGTACCGTCGGCTGGCACTCCCGGTGCGGTTGTGTGCACGCACCAGACGTTCATGATTTGCCCATCGGATCTGACCGCCTCACAGGCAAGGCACACCCAGCATCACCCAGCCCCGCTCGACGATCTTCACCCTTCGAGCCAACGGCCCGATGTGCGGGCAGGCGGGGCGTGGTCCCCTTACTGGTACCCTGCTGCTCAGCCTCCATGCCCGACAAGCCTGCGGCTCCCCCGTGTTTTAGCTCGTGCAGCGCAATTGCCACTGATCCTGCTGCAAGCCGGACCTGGCACTGAGGTTTTTTTCGTTTGTGGCAAGCACCTTGTGTTACGGCTGCAAGTCAGACGACAGTCCAAGTCCCCGTGCAAGCTGCGGACTACGGTGTCAGGCGAGCGGGAGATCACTGGGAGCTCTGAAGCACGGGCAAAGGGGGGCCGCTGGGCTATGGAGCCTCCGCAAGGAGCTCGTGCAGAGCGCGGCGGGCCAGCAGCACAAGGCTCCGAATGGAGGGGGAGCTCCAAAAAAGTGGCGGCAAGCGCGCGCTGCGCAGCAACGGAGATGAGTCCACTCCAGCGGAGAACCCATGGTTCGTATAGCCAATTTTTTTTTGTGCGTTCCTTCTGGCTCCTGGTCGACGTCCCGTCGATGTGGCCGCGAGCGGCTCCGTCCCTCGGAGGCAGCGCGGTGGAGGATGCCGTCGAGCGGTGGGCCTGCTCCGGCCTCCTGCGCGTGCCAGCGACCGCATGCTGCACAGCGACAGAAAGCACATTCCACCAACGCCGCGCCCACGCCACGGTGGCTGCCCGGTGGGGCGCACGAAGCGACGAGCCTGGGCGTTCCAGCGGCCGCCGACCTCCGAGCCGAGCACGACAAGGGTCTGCGGCCCGCCCCGCGTGAGCTCACGGTATGCGGCGTGCTTGCGGCGCTCAGCCACTCGCAGTGCCGCTCCGTCGACGGCCACAGCACACGGCTGCGGGTGCCCCGAATGCGAGAGTGGGGACACCAAAGTGGCGTCGCAGCATTCCACGCCCCCGCTGCTGAGTGCCCCATACGCGGCGAGGTCGAGCCGGCGACGGTCCTGCGCGCCACAACATTTGGGGCAGTGGTGTGGGCCAGCATGGGCCAGCCATTGCTGTGGGACGACTTGGCCTTCCGACATCTTCCGACCCCACCGCTTCCCGGGCAACCCGCACCAAGGCTCGCTCGACGAGCTTGGCCCGCCGGGCGAGGAGTCCAGTCGCCGAAGCGGTCTACTGTCCCCCCACAGCCATGTGGGGTGGCCCGCAAAAGCCGCTACGCAGCAGCAGAGGCTGTCGCAGGCGGCGCCTCAAGTCGCCGGCTCTGCCGGGATCGCCGCGAGCCAAGCGCCCACCTGCGGTCCAGCTAGGGATCGCAATAGCGCCTGAAAACTGGGCGGCAAGTCGAGCACCAGCACGCTATCGCGGAAGTAGGTGTTGAGAGTTCGCGTCGCGTGCATCGACGGGCCCAGCGTCATCCGCTGGAGGTGGGCGCGCTCCGTCCAAGAGGGCGCGCCACGCGGGGCAGGTTCGCATGCCGCCCAGTACCCAGCAGTGGCGGCAGCGAGGCGATCGGCCAGGCGTGAGGCGCACCGTCGAACGGCAGGCCTCCCAAGCAGGCTTGCGACGTTTCCTAGACTGCCTCGTCATGTGCAGCGGCGTACCCGCGCGACTCGGAAGGAGGCAGAGTGCGGAGTGCATGATTCGCGCGAAAAATGCGCACATGGCGAGCAGGAACCAGCATGAACCAGCTGCATTGGAGGTCCGGCAAGTTGAACAGTTGTTGAAGAAATTTGCGTTCCTCCTGCATGCGTTCCGCTACCCACGCGCGCACAAAATCGGGGTGGAGTGCCGAGCACGACCAGGCCCCTTTCGGCTGGTGGCTTATATCCCCTCCTCGCCACACCGCATCTCCCAGCTCAGCGATGCCCGGCGGCGGGGGCCCTTCTAGCGCGAAAACCCTGGTCTTGCCGAAGTTGGAGGCAATGCCGCAATGGCTCTCGACGGGATTCGTGGTGCTGTCTAGGGCATCCCGGGCACGTTCTGGGACCCTGACGACGTAAAGGTCATCAAGGAAGGCCAGCAAGGCATCGCCGCGGTGCAGCGCGGACGCGGCTTGACAAACAAAGCGCTTCATGTTGGCCGAGGGCGAATAGCGCCGGGGCAAGAGCATCGCCCTGCTCGCAGCCTCGCTTTGCGGCACGGCCCGACACGCCCCTGTCGCGTCCCACCACATATAGCTGGAGGGCCGGCCGTAGAAGAGCCGGACAAAGGGGAGGAGCTCTGGTGCGACCTCGCGCGGCTTGCTGAGGAAAGCTACGCGGGACATGGAGTTGTAAGCGCTGCGGCCATCCAGCGACACGAGGACCGCGTCTGGGCGCAAGGTCAACGCAGCTCGCACGCTGGCGGCGAGTGCGTCCGTCCCCGCACGGGTCTGGAGCGCGAACTGGTATGGTCGATCGCGCACCGGCTCAAACGTGGCACGGACATCGTCAGCCAACGGTTGCTCGGCGGCCGCGAGGGCACCTCCTCCGTAGGCCTCGAGCAAAGCGAACTGAGCAGGCGCAATAAGGTAACCTTCGGGCGCCATGCACAGGAGCACTGCTGCGGAGACCGGCAAAGGGGCATCCGACGGAAGCGCGGACAGCTGCGCGCTGGCCGTCGCGAGTCCATCAACCCCCGCAACCAACGTTCCGGCTTCGGCATCGTCGCAATCCGCGGCAGCGCGCATTAGGCGTAACAAGGTGGCAGGCGGGACGCCTTGGGCACGGCGCAGGGCAGCAGCAAGCTCTGCAAAGCGCACCCCAAAGCCCGGTCGCTCTTGCCACGCTTGTTCAGCCGCACGGCTGAGGTAGCCAGCGCCGGCGTGCAGTATCGTGCAGTAGTGGCACGCAGAGCCACGAGCAGCGGGGGCTTGGCTGCACGCTCGGATGGCCGGCATTGGCGAGCGTAGGCATGCGCAGGCCGCCGGTCCGGGTCGGTGAGCGCTCGCCACGTCGCCTGTGCCTTGCGCGAGTTCCGCCGCAGATGCCGCAGTGAGCACTTGGCGAGCACGGACTTTTCCGACTGCAAAAAAAAACCGGTAGCTATATGACAGTCCTACGGCATCATAGTACCACGCGCGGTCCCAGTCTCGGGCCGCCAGAGCAAACGGCTGGGCGCCTCGTCAGCGAGGCGCTAGGATGGCTGGCCACGAGCGTGCTTGCAACAGCATGCAACAGCGAGTTGGACCGCGACAGACAAGGCTCCCCACCAACGTCACGCCCACCCACAGGACTCGGATGGACTCGGCGCGACGCACTGCGGGCGGTAGGCGGTGAGCTCGGAGGCGGACGAGGTCGCGAACGAAGTGCTGCGCGGTTGCATTCCAGCGGCCCCCGATCTCCGAGCCGAGCACCAGCAGCTTTTCCAGCCCTCGCGAGCTCTGGGTACGTGCTATGCTTTAGCGCCGCCCCGTCCACTTCCACTGTGCATGGAATGCAGCTGTCCGGTTCGTTGTGGTGCGCCGTGGCGGCGGCGGCCCGGGGCTGCGCCGGGCCCGCTCCGGTGAGGCTGGCGTCGGCGATGGTCGGCATCCGGCGAGGCTGCGAATTCTCAGTGGAAGTCGTCCGCAAGCGTCTCGGCCGTTGCTGCCATCGCTGCCCCGCCCCGCCTGCGTAGCCTTCCAACAAAGGCGGTTGGGCCGCTGCGGACCGAGCTTTGTAGCGAGAAGTGGCAGTCCACGGACCTACTGCCAACCACAAGGACAGCAGTTTTCTCAGCAGAGCTCGGCGAAGGCCCAGAGCCCGAGTTGCACGAACTCCTCGCTGAGGCGCGCTGGGATGCAACCCAGCAGGCTGTGTCCTACACCAGCTGCACCGGGCCCGGGCCATATTTTGCGTATAAATGCATCGTAACAAGGGGCGCATTGGGATGCACTGGGCCCAAGACAGGCAACGCCCTGGCAAGCAACACGCGCTGCCGCAGATATGCCATCAAAAAAAATATTGAACAACAATGGGCCAAGAACACTGGCGTACCCTCGGACGTCATCCAAGAGCTTACATAACGAGCGCGTGATACCAATTTCTGCGAGCTTGACCACAACTGCATCCCTCCATGCAACGTCAAATGCTTGAACGTGTGCCCGACAAAACTGTGAACAAGGCCTCCTGGAGAGGCGCTGCGAGGTAGTGCCTTGTTTATGGAGCGAAACCTGCGTCGTGGAAGAGTGCGAATGACGAGGAGAGCCGCAATGTCGACGAGCTGAATGCCAGGCTAATGTGTGCGACGGCTATCGGCCACCATTGACCGATAACGGAATGCGAACCCACTGCATGCAGAACGCATGTCGCATGTCGTGCGACACCAAGGTCCCGTTGCCTGGGGCAAGAACGGGACATGCCTTGCGGAGCCTTCGCCGCACATCCCCCGAAGGCTATGTCACTTCTGTCCTGCCGTCACACTCCAGGCAGCATGACGCAGCCCGACGCATGCACATCTTCATCTCGGGGTTCCCACGTGCTTGGTGGAAGCTGTTCTGCCTCGCC